TTGCAGTTTCAGGTGACCCTGGCTACTGATGCTATCTGAGTGCCTGCTGACAGTATCACTTCATGTCCGGGAAAGTTATATGGATCGGCTGTTTATCGACGTAATGTCCAAAGCATTATGCCTTACTGCGTCTACGTATCCTAGACCATAGGCTAGTGAGCTGGTCTGGGTGTTTGTGTCTGCGTCGAAGCCAGACGGGGTGATCGGGCGGACTGTCAAGTCAGTCAGTAGCTCGGGCTATCCACGACAGAATTTCAATGACCCTGATGCGTTGAAGCGCCCCTGCGTATTTTGCCACGAGGAGAAAGGGCAGACATTTCATATTCGTCAGTCACAGAGGCACTAACACCGTTACTTCTCATTCATTAGCCTTTATCGTTGATTCTCCTCATGTACGATTGATCGTTTCTGAGCCGGACCTCGCCATTGTGCTCAGCCTTCACTGTCAGCGTACGGGTGCGCGGTACGAGCATCGCCCCTCTCACCTCAGGCGACAGGTCAGCTAGTCGGTGGATCGTTACTTGCGGCGGGGGAAGAGAGCGAGATGGACCCTCAGCGCATTCCTTTCCTCACTATAAACAATCTGATGCGCTTGAAGCTATCACAGTGCGCTAAAAGACGTGGCTTGGAGGGTTGCCAACTGACGGGATAACTCGAATGCCGCAGTCAGTCCAGTGTGTGTCTTGTTGTGTGGAGTGGCTTACTGTTCAATGGCTCCTTCTTAATGTAACCTTTATGGCGCTTCTATTCAGGAGCCCATCTAGCTGCTTGGTACATGTGTTGGGTGTTGGTTGCGTCTTCTTAACTTTTGTCTTGACATCGGGCCCGGTGTGGGAGTGGTCAGAAGGTGGGGTAGATTTTCCGCGAGTCTGCTTTCGCTGTATATCTCGCGGAAGTCAGTGCGCTGCTTTAATTCGTTCAAGTCCTGGCGGACATCTTCGAGAGCAACGGTCGTACTGTCAGTACGCACAGACGAGGACTTCTGGCCCCAGCAGACCTAATCGCAAGCCCACTTTAGCCAAAATTGCCACTGGTACGCAGTAGGAGTGAGATCGATCCTGAGCGCACTTCCTTCCTCATAGTAAATTCGATGTGTTTACGATTTGTCACTGCACGCCAAGGGCCTTGACGCCGAATGTTTCTGATCATGGGAATCATAAATTATTCTTACCTTGAGAAAATTCTCACCGATGCAAGATTTGATTTACGTTGGATTGGTTTACGTGGACAAGATAGACCAGCAGGTGCGCAGTGCCTGTAAACGAACACCTCATGTCACATCTGCTGTCCTTTTGAGCCAGTTCTGCCATTGGATCGATCTAGGTATGAAGCAAGGCCTGGAGTAGATTCCTCGGCACTTACTCTCATTATGCTAAACTTCACACAAAATGTTTTATTGCTTCCATGGGCAGTGGCAGTTGGCGTCAGTTGCGACGGCGCAGAGCTATGTCCAAAGCAGTACTTGGAATCTGGAGCTCACCTATGTCAGTAACAAAATCTTGTTTTAAACTAACGCAGAACTATTGTCACCTTCATAGACCACGCACGATTGTCAAGTTCACCGCAACGCGTGCCCACTTATTTCCTGTATTACCTACACCTACATCAAATTTGATTACAAATCCTATCAAAACAGCCCCCAGTGAACACGGTTAACAAATTTGACAGGTTTCGTGCCTATAATCTGACAGCTCCTATCAGATTTGAACACCTTCGTTGTCTGCCAATGTTTGCTGTCACGTCATTTATATCCGCTTTTGGCTGATAGTGTCGTAACGGGTCTTCTACCGGACAGTGAGACTGTGTTATTTTCTGTAAAATATAGAATAATGAACAAAATGTTACTGAAGCACAGTATATCTTATATCGCGCTCACTAGTCCGTTTACTCGTGTTTAAAGCAAATACTTTCCTTTTCAACGCTCCATATATTGCTGCGCCACCGGGTTATGTCCTTTCCCCTTTTTCGAGAGTGCGGTGACCCGAAAAGTTAAATTTCAGTCTTTTTCAAGTCCACCCCGTTCGACTGGCAGTCGGACCAGTGCTCCTAAACTTTCTCGACAAAGCTGAAATAAATGTGGTTAACGATAAAGTCCTTTGGGAGAGAATAATGTTTACTGTGTAAATGTTCGAGTCTGGTTCTCCAGCTCATCGACAGCCACATGAAAGTGTTACGAAAACAGTTAACTCAAAATGATGACTAACACATGACTCTACAGTGAGTCAGCGTATAGGAACATAATCGTCACCGGCATTTAGTTATGCGGTCAGTGGGGAAAACTAGTAGTCATCCGCGTGTAATTATGCAGTCGGTGGTTGCTTTTTTGGCCCCTATCTGATCTTGAGAGATTTTTAGTTGACATCCAAATCGATGTGCCTGTTAATGCATGCCTCATCTGAGTGCAGTGCCTCCAGGAATTCGCGGCCCTTCCTAGTTGGGCAGGTGCCAACGTTTTGGGCTTGCCCCCATGCAAATGCGTGTCTCGTGTCCAGTGTGTGCATGGAAACCTACGATACGTGGTCTCGTCTCCTCATCGATGACTGGTTTTCATCTATGCTGGTGGATAGAGCTCTTCCTGTTTGATCACAGTAGACTGCATCGCAACTGGTGGATGGTATTTTGTAGACGACTTCCTTTCTGTCCCCTGCCCTTAGGGTGTACAAGCTGGGTGCGCAAAGCAGTTGCCGGCTTGTAACTTCACACAATAAAAGTTCTTTCCGAAAGGACTTTGTTGGGATGCCGATATTTCAATGCATACAAAATAAGTACTTTCTGTTTCCCATGTGTGCTCTGTCTGCCCCCTTTCGAAATGAATGCCCCTTCCGGTTGTTCGGCTCCCTGCCGGACGTGGTCTGATAACAGTTGTAATGTTGTTTATTCTTTGCGTTTCCTTCCCCCACCCCTACTGTAGATCTATATTCGTACGATGCCAACTTCAATCTTTCGCCTTCTAACCGGGCAAGACGTACCTCATTACATCTGATTACTGCTCGTCTGTCAGTCCGCCTTCTGCTCAGCCGAATGAGGGGCTTTTCTGTTAGTGCTTCCCCACCCTCCC